ATCTTATGTTTATCTCTGTTGAACAGAACAATCTAGAAATCCGTGGGAACACTTTGAATTTATAACTATTTAGTTTAAAAATGTATGTCTACAGCATAATAGGTACAGTTATTAAGAAGGTTTAAAAATTCAGTCTTTTAAAGTATATATAACAAAGTTATACCTATTAAGTGCATAAATTAAAAAAGTCTAATGTCATTATTTAACGTATCTTCTTTTTTTTCATCTAAAAAGTTAGTAAAAAATTACGTTTATGAAAATCAGGAAGGTTTAAGTCAATCAGTCAAAATTTAAGACAAGTTTTCGCATCTATTTTTAGATCATTGTACATTTTCAATCTTTTTATATAGCATTCACGTTCAAAACAAAAAAATTGAAAAATGAAAAATATACAGGGTGACTGGTGAATTACTATCAATATTTAAGGAGCATACTCGGTACATGATTCTCATTCGAATTATGTAAAAAAAAATAGATACTTAATTTTTGACAAAATTTCCGTATAAATAAATAAAGTGTTGACACGTTCCAAGTGTTGCAAGTGTGGACGCGTGCGGCGGCGTGCTGATACAATACTACGCCGCCGCCGCGTCTGTGTGAGTGTGTGTGTATACCTAATCTGTAGGGTGTTCACACGATGCGTAATTAATTACATAACTTTTGGTTAACTTTACTTAGAAGTTTATTAATATTTATGTTATATTAATTTTTATTTTGTCATATATGATCGTCAAATATCACGTCCTCAAATATCGATAGTAATTCACCAGTCACCCTGTATTAATATTTCATTGTAAGTATTACCTATATAAGGCCTACTTAGTTCTACGATAGAATATTGTATCGTTTCTTCTGTATATACACGTATACCTATATATATATATATATATATATATATATATATATATATATATATATATATATATATATATATATATATATATATTTTTGTATTGTAAATTGGTTTTAGAACGGACAATATAAATTTACAATAATAATACTTTCAGCTTTTGAACAAATTGTTTTTTTCACACATATTCTAGGCCTATACTATAGGTACCCAAAATCTTTTTGCTAAAAAGAACAAAGGAGCCAAAAATCCACTAATTGAATAGGAGTAATGGAACATCTTTATTTTCAATGACGACATTAATAGTGCACTTTTAGTTTTGCAAAACGGATCAAAAAAGCTTTTCAAATATATTTTATTTATCAACAAGTTATTGAACAAAGAGTTTCAATATTTATATTTATATACACTTTTGATTTAATGCATTTTATGTACGCATAAAAAATTTAATACTTCAATGTAACCAATAACCGATATAAAATCAAAAAATATTTTTTGTACGACATAATTAAAAAGCAATGAATTCAAATCGTTCATTATACATGAAACTTTTCATCATTATCTAAGTATCTAATAATAAAACCTCCTTATACCTGTTCGCTACGTCGCCATATATTTATAATCTGTCATAGAAAGTATCCCACCGGTAATAAGTCTATGTCAACGCAACATATAATTTTGTTGCAAACATCTGCCGCTTTCACTGTATCGAGGACGCACCTTAACTTGGAACATTTATAACACACGACCTGCGATACGATACGATATCGTGACGTGTAAATATGGTTATTATAATATTTATAATAATAAGACTGAATAGAATTGAAACTAATTCTGTTTAGATTTCCTATAAGAAAAAAACAACAATTATTTTATCGCTACAATAAAATCTGTACAGGTTTTGTTGATTGTTTTTAATTAATAAGTCATAAAATATTGGAATGACCTGACTACTCACAATCATTTAATTTCCTATATTTTATGTAATCCTAATTGAAATTTTAGTTTTTAATTATGTTTCATAAATAAGTAATACCTACTCACTTAACTTACAAAGTATTTTTGTTTTGATATGTTTTTTACCACTTTCCATAAAAAAGTCTTATCTAAAGTATTTTGGTATCATAAACATAATTAAGATTATTTAAGATATAGATAGGATGAATGATTAAGTCATTTGCCTTCAGAGCTTACGAATAAAAAAACGAAAAAAATTGGCGAATATCAAAACGTCATGAGCGGGAATTATCAAAAAACTATTTGTTTATTTCATTATAACAGTTAATCGCAAATATTTATTATAGATAATATTTGAAAACATTTAAATATAATTATTGATATGTTAGTTATTAAGTGAAAGTAATGTATACTTCTTGGTTATATTCGAAAATACCTACGAAATTACCGAAAATATCTAATCCATAGTATTATATCTGTTCAGAACTGTATCCCCTTCGCCGTTTCGTGTGATGAGTGATCATTGGATGCTGCGCAGACCACGCCTCGTAAGAGATCTGCCAATCGGATGGTGAGTGCTCTTAGATATATATGTAGCTAGATTACAGCATACTTACAGATTTTGATCTCGTTACGACTATACTACGTATCGAAATATAATAAACTGTATAGATAATCGTTCTTTTTGAATTGATAATCGTATTTTTTTGCTTTTGTATATAAATATACGTACGTATTATCATGTTTATATAAGATTATTTTATTAATTAATAATTTTTAGCAAGTGTTTGGATTTAGGCTTCTTGTTATATTTAGAAAGTGATTTAAAATAGTCTTATTAAGTAACCGGCAGCGATATCTATAGTTTGTCACGTGACTTCATATGATACAACTTTTGCATCTGGATTTCGTTGTAACTACAAAGAATTTCTTAGTAAATTATATTCTACGTGTTATAACCGTGTCTGAGTGACGTTTTTGTAAAGCTTTATTAAAATTCTTCAAATAGGTTTAGCGTGAAACAGCAACGCATATATACATATAATGATATCTAAGTATTCATGGATATATAAAAGTATCTAATAGTTTTCGGATTTACTACTCGTTGTTTAATTTTTTAAACGACATACTCCCGAACTTTCGATTAATTTGTAGAAGGACAGACGAGATAAAGGTCATTTTCAAATCGTCCGAAAATATAGACTGTTAACTAATATTATTTCAATAAATAGGTACGTTAACCTACATATATTTTCGAAAACTTCATCAATTATAATTAGTAGGGTATACTAAATTATTATAAAAATACTTTATTTATTGTTAGATATAAGAACTTATTTTTATTTAATTTTAATTAATTGCTTTCATTATTTGAATTTTAATATTTTTGTAGATATTACCTACTGAATACTGAATTCACTCACAGTTGAGCATTTGATGAATTCATATTCCTTATTCCTTAGTCATTCATCAATCTCCAGTTAATTATAGATTATACAGATAATTAAAGATCATATAGGATAAAATCAGTAGGTACATTCATGATGGTGGTCCTTGAAATAAAAAATATTAGTGATGCTAACATTACTGAAAATAGAAATCAATATCTGTAAACAAAGAGGTAAACCGAAAATCACTAAAAACTTCCTCTTTCTTTAATAATTAATGAAAAATAATTAATTAATAAGTGGTAGCTAAGTTATTTTTAATAAATATAAATGTAAAAAAAATTCTTTATTACGAAATACATGTACATAATATTATAATAAGTGAGAAAGTAATTTCTGTATTGTAATTTGTAACGTTTTAATAGCTACACTTCAGTAAGATATTATTTAAGTTGTATCAAAAAGTACCTACCCTACATAAAACTCCGAATGTATACAAAAATGTCTCAGAAAAAACCAAGGGGACAAGCTAGTGATACAGTAGCCATTAAAATAATTCATACCTATCTACCAAAAGAACAATTAAACTTCTCAGAATTCGTAATTATATATATCGAAACATTTAAAAAAATGTTTCTGCCAAACTTCTTCTACCTGACAACTTCCCAGCTTTAGCCAGGCTCTGCCTTACATGTTGTGAATAGTTTTTAAGACCGGCCGCCTGCCTGACATCAACCCTCTTTCGGTAATGCATTAATCAGTGATGTCTAAATACTCTTAGAAAGTACATATGACTCGGAAAAATCATATTGGTGCTTGCCAGGATCGAACCCGCGCCCTCGTGAATGAGAGGCGGGACTTTTAACAACTAGGCCACCACTGACTCTTAAATTCCAAAGAATGTTATTTCCAATATTATTAGTAAATTAAATATAACAGTAATAAAAAAATCTTAAATTTTATTCAACAACTAGTCAATACACCTATATTTAAGTGGGAATTTGTTATAATATATGAGTTATAGGTCATGAAAACTAAATACAAATAAAATATAATTAATATATCTATTCCGAGGTTATGTTTGAATTATTATAATAATCATTTAAAATAATACGTAACCTTAAAAATATATGACTCTCATAATAATTTAGCAAATAACAGAAACATTCGTAATAAGAATTATAAAAGTATTTTAAATATGACATATTCAAGAGTTGAACAGAAATCCAGAATTGTTAATATATAAAAATTTGTTGACAGTTAAGTTCATTAGAATTTTTATTCTGACTAGTGACGCTATCTCTTGACCGACATTGTTATATTAAAATTCTTCGAATTTTTTATAAATGAAACTCTTTCAACAGGCTACTTTTTTGAATAAAAATAATTATATTATCTTCAATAAAATGTAAATATTTTTTTATTTCGTTCAAGGCATAAAGATATTTGACAAAATTTATAATATGAAACACTTGCTAGTTCCATCTAGTGCCGAGTAGTGAGAACTGAAAAAACAAAAATATTTCTATTTATTATTAAATTTATTAATTGCGCTGATAAACAATATTATAATTAATAGTTTTATATTTGGGGGATTTTAGTGCTGTTGATGAAGTATTACTCTTTTAAAAAGCATTAAGAGTAGGTCATTTATTTCCGAGTATAAACGATTTTAAAGCTTCAGTAAGTACTGGTAAATTGTTTATTGTATTTGTTTTTTACTATTAACGTAACGGCTGTAATAAAAATCTGTTTATGATAAATTTGTCAAATATACCACGGAATTTACTTTAATACCGAGTAAGATGATTGAATCTACAAATACAGGAATTTATCATTGGAAATTAGGAGACATAGCTCTCGCTAGGATTTGCAAAAAAGTGTACGCAAAAGTCCAAGTTGTGAAGAATGAAGATGGATTGTTTCATGACGAGAAAGGTATTTCATTTATACGTATTAAAACATTATAATTAAGAACGTAACTTTTGTATAGTTTTTGGAATAGTTAAAAGAAATCAAGGTCAGAATATGTTTGTTATTTGGCTGGCTATTATTTTTAAAGTTAATTTTAGTTCTAGGTATCTCATCATGTGACGATGAGGTTCAAGTGACCGATGAGTTATGTTACTTCGTGGAAATACTCCGCAATAGACAAAGGTTGTGGCTTCCATATACTTGTATGCACCTGGCTGAACGATCAAGACCATATTATGGGCCTTCATATAAAGCACCAGCTGTTAAGCCAGCAGTGAAAACTACTCCTAGGAAGGTATATAATACTTTGACTTACAAATATTTAAGATACAATTATTATCATATATATTTTATTCAATTGAGTCCACCTTCAACGCCAAATAAGCTAAAATAACAATGTTTCCTAGGTACATTAAGTGATATATACATAATATTATTTCAGAGAAAAATTATTGAGGAACACATACTACCTATAAATGTGAAACCTTCAAAATCTAAAGAACCAGATCTGAATGTATCCTATGAAACCCGTCAGAAACCGCTCAAGCAAGGGAAGTATGAAAACGCTTTCAAAGAATTTGTTAGACTTGGCAAGGAACAGATATTCGATCAGTTCTATGATGAGTTATGTCTCGATAAAGAAAACAATGATGATATATTATACTATATGCATAACATAGATGCGAGTACCGAGGACAAGTTTGAAACGGTCATCAAAAATATTATGACAGAGAAAGAAATAGAGAATTATTTACATCAGTGTTGGAGATATAACTTTGTTCACAAACAAATTGATAGCAAAGAAACATCCGATAACTCGGTGAGTTAGTATTCATTATGTATAAAATATATATTTAATTTATTTCTTTTTTCATATATTAGAAGATTTTCTCCGCCTCTCCGCCAGTAATAACAGTTCATATATCCTGGTGTCTCGTTTGTGGTGAGAATGAGAAGCTTCGTGAGTGCACTCTATGCCCTGCATCCTATCACTTGGCTTGTAGAAGAGAATGGCTGCTGTCTATAATACGTAAGTAATGCATTAATTTAACAAAATCTATACCAATATAAAGGGCCATCCATAAAGTAAATTTATAGGGACAGACATGGGGCATGGGGTGTTAATAGTTTTGGCAAAGCAAAGCAAATTTAATTTAAAATACTAAAACAATATGTAAGTTTGGATATGAATTGTTTTTTTTTTTTAAGTTCTATCACATGTTGGCTTTATAATAATAATAATTAATAATTTATTTGAGTTGAAAACACCATTACAAAGAATAAATATATAAAAAAATAACAGTGAACAAAAAAATAAAAAAAGGAAGTGTTCATACAAAATTATGATATAAGCAAACATCTTACATAAGTATTTCATAGAAATTCTTAATTAAGAAAAAGGTTAAACATTAAAAATAATAATAAGATAAAAAGCCACCACCATTTTTAAAATTAAAGTTATTGTTAATCTTATCGAGTTACTGGAGACAGAATTGAGGTGTTTTAACCAAAAAGGCTGCAACTGTACTGCTGCATAAATTTAGATTTATTACAGCACTGATTTTCAGTTGCCACCTGTTAATGTTTTGGACCAGTAGCGGTACAGCATCTATTAAAGGTTTTTATCTAAGAGAATGTAAAATAAATAAACAAATAAAAAAGTAGTTGGTCTAGATTGTAGAATCAAGTCTCTTTATATAATAGTTACTTGCATTCAGATGTACAAGACTATTGATTAATTTATCCCCTTATTTTAATTTACTCTTTGATTAAAATGTTAACATCCATATTAATTTGATCTTTTCACCAATTTTAATGTTTACTTGGTCATGAAGCGCCCGTAACGCGCCATCTGACGCTTTTCCTTGTAATTATTACTTGAACAATCTGTAAACTTTCAATGACATAATTTTCGTGTCCTGAATCTGTGTAGATGGCACAAACATAACTTTTCATTTATTTTTTCATATCAACCAAAACAGATGAAAAAGTGATTGACTAAAATGTTACTGATAAAACCAGATGTTTTCAAAAAGAGATTATATTAATAATGTTAACGGCTTTTCAATTAAGTGTAATTATAATCACATGAAATTGTAATAAACATAAGATTAAGAAAATTGCTACACATTTAGTTGACAGTTTAATGTCTAGCAGTCGCCAACGTCCATACCACGTTGAATACACCGGTTCTCGTCCGATCACCGAAGTTAAGCAACGTCGGGCGCGGTCAGTACTTGGATGGGTGACCGCCTGGGAACACCGCGTGATGTTGGCTTTTTTGTTTCCTCTTAACATTCATTTTTTAGTTTAACATTAATTATTCATCATTTCGTTGAACTTGCTAGAGTGATACATAATACATTGATTATTTATTTAAGTTATAAATCTGAATGCTTTAAATGAACACGATCAAGATATTTTTTTCAATACAAACTAAATTTATAACAGGCATAAAATAAATATAAATTAGTATGTGTAAACCTTATAGAATTTAATGAGTAAGTTGTAATAAAAAATATAATTTGTTTGTAATTAGAAAATAGTTATTACAAGCGTACATACAAAAAGTTCATAGTCTCTTGACTTTCAATAAATAGATTTACATATTTATATTATTTTTAATATTATTCTTTAGTTATGTATTTCTTCCCAACAGTCAAATCAGTATCACAGTTTACTCACAAAAGTTTATTTTATTATTTTTATTATCACTGTTACATATACTAATGAATATTCTATGCTTGGTACAAATTTAGAAAATTCACTGTTTATACAAAATAAAATTAATTGGTTCCATAAGTTAGAGAATTAGTAAATATACACTCTCCAATATGCTATAGATCTTATAACTTGAATTAATAGTATTGATTATCCTAGGACTGGCTTGCTGTATATTTACATTTTATCTGTTTAATTATACATCTCTTTATGTCTTTAGAAGTACATATAAAAACCTTTGAATGCGTTTTCAACTGCTGCTACTTCGTTCTTATTTATAACCTTCAATCATCAGGTTTCGGTTGTTCATGATGAATAACCTGCTAAAGTCTCCCAGTTGCGTGTTTTCTCATTCAGACATTAAAGTAATTTTAAAGTTGTGTAATTTGAGTCTTAGTAACTGCGTGTATATAAAAAGAAGCCTAGTAGCATATTAATTTACATACACCAACAAAATGTTTCTTGATTTTCTGGATTTAAAGTTAACACCATAATAGCTATAGAGCTATTATTGCCTACAGAGGCTAGGTTACTCATCGGTACGACCAATAATATGATCCAGATTGACAGCTATTTTTTGACATGCATGAACATTTTACCAGGACTCTGTTTGCAATCAGATTATGTATCAGTAATCATTCACAGTGGTTGTATGAATATAATAATAATAATATGCAAGGACAATTAATGACGAAAATAAGTAGACAAAAGAAAACAGGGAAACAAAAAAGCCAACATCACGCGGTGTTCCCAGGCGGTCACCCATCCAAGTACTGACCGCGCCCGACGTTGCTTAACTTCGGTGATCGGACGAGAACCGGTGTATTCAACGTGGTATGGACGTTGGCGACTGCTAGAGATTAAATTATCAACTGAATGTGTAGCAATATTCTTAATCTTATTTTTTTATTAAATGAAATTAAAATTTGAAAAAAGGGAAAAAAAACGTGACTACGGTCTTTGTAGGGCAACGTATGATACGTATGTAGGTATTGCAAAGATAAACCAAATCTGATAAGACCAGGAGGGGAAGACGTATCGAAGAACAATACTCCCGTCAGATACTAAAATTTGGGAAATATAACAGTACCTAGTTAACAGTGAGGATACAGAGACATGTCCCATTCGATTAATTGATTTGTTAATGAATCCGCCGCATATTCCAGGAGTTATGAAATTTAAGTGAAAACGGTCTTCACGGAAATCCGTTCTGTCATATCGTATCAAAAAAATATTATGTTATTTTCTAATATTCTGGAGTTTTTCAAGCCAGTTAACAATGTGTGTTCCTACGAGGTTGTTTTGGCGGGTTGAGAGTTCTCTCCGTAGCTTCCAGTCGAACTAAAAGTTGTTGGCTATTTCACGCAAACATTTTGAGGTCTTTGGGAAGATGATTAGGGTGAGTAGATTTTTTTTCGATATATTTTTGCCATCATTGACGAAACATCGAAGAAACATTTAATATTAATCCGGAAACAAAACTAGCGATTAGAAATCCGCTGAGTAGATTTTATCAGCAAATAACGCGTTGACCATGGCTTCAGTATTCTGGGACTCGAAGGGCTTGATTGTGTTTTATGTTCTATTAACATCTGTGCCATCAATAGAATGAAAGTCATGTCCGCGGTCTTCATCCGTCACCACATCTGCCTGTTTTGACAGTCTTCCATATGTGTCCCCCAAATTCCACAAAACAATACATGTCATCTTCACTTCATGTTTTTAGGTCCTCTGTTAGAGGTCTTACATTACATGGGTACATGTTTCATGGTTCAGGTCGTCGTTCTGATAACCGATATGGTAGTATGCGACTCGCTGATAGACAATTGGCTTAAATTAACTATCTAAGTTGTTTTACTTTTTCCTTTTCAGGAAACAAATAGAGAGAGTTATCGAATGCCAGGTCTCCCTTTCTTTTTAGCATATGTTTACTAGTCTGCTGTTCGACTAGCGTACATACATACATATGTATGTACGTAGATGTGAACGTTTAAATAGGGCAGTTTTATTTTGACAAGAGCAAATCTGCGGCAATGACATGGACGTTTTTCTCACAGGCGAAACAAAAATAGGACACGGTGTTAAATGATAATATGGAACGTTTCACTAGATGGCGCTCCGCAAACGTCGCTTGGTCGTGTACAACGCGGTAACGAGATTTCTGTGATGACCATGACGGCCGATCGTCGTGGATGTATGTGTTAAGACCTTACTTCATAGGATCATTTCTATAGTAAGCTCTTCACGAGATCTACACACTACGTGAGATCGTACCAGCCGTGTTGATGAGACGTGGCGCGGCGTCCTGAGCGTGAGGCGGACGACGGCTTCCGGCCGCCAGTCCTCGATGATCGTTCACCTCTCTCACCAGTGGGAGAGGCGTGGGGCGCTGTCGCTGTCTGAGCGGCGTTTTTTAAACCACTTTATATTCACACTTAAATTAAATTAAATTAAATATTATTTGATTTTCTATCAAGTTAAACAAAGCAGTTCATGATTGGAGCCTTTCCATCAGTAATTATGTTACTAAATACACACATACACATACATGTTCGAGAATAGTGAATCAAATGCAAAATAATTTATTTATCTTCTAAATAAAATACTTGAAATTTTTGAAATTAAAATACCAAATGATTGTAAGAAATCAAAAATTTTCTTTTTATGTAAAGGACTGGTAAAATTAGTTTGATAAATGTTTAATCGCTCATTTTTCTAATACTAAGATACTGACCAACAAATAATTTTTCCACGCAAGATATAAAATAGATTTTCTTAAAATATGATGTACTTGTATGGTGTATTTTAGACAAGACACCTCTCTGCATACTGACACTGTTTCATGAACATATCACTCAGAATTAAGTGTCATAATTTATGTGTACAGATTATTAGTATTCCAATGAAGAATACCTATTTAACTACAAAGGATCTATATAATATATTTTCAACGGATCTCTCAGCTCCCAGCAGTACGTCATGTCACACACGCCCGTGTCTGTTAGTGCCGTGTTCCGTCAACAGATGTCGCCGTACCGTCCTCCTGGTCAGAGTGCACATCGCGCTAGTGAGATTTTCTCGTTCTCAATGACCCTCTCTGTATGAGTACAGGTCGGCATCGCTTCTCGGCCTTTTGGCTAAGATCAAAGTGTAGTATCTGTTCTTTTCAGCTTAATATCTGAAAGTTCCCGCATGTCGGGACCAGTATATTAAACTGATTTTTGTAAACCGACGGGATGTTCGGGGCTCGCTCCACTCCCGTCACGGGTCGGCCCGGCATTGCAGTGCCGCCGGGATCGGCCCACATAATACTGAGAACTTAAACTCTTATATAAAACTATAAACAAAATATAGATATTGTTTGTTAGTCGTCTATTCATTACTGTGATTTCCACTGTTAGCATAATAGTGTTGTGTATCCAAAGGCTATCGATTTAATATTGATAGTAAAGGCAAAGCCGATAGTTACTATAATCTATCGATAGTAACGATGGCACATCTTTAACAATTCACTATCGAAAGTGCTAATACCATCGATAGTATCAATAGTTACACCTTCAATACTATCGATAATATCGTATAATTTGCTATTTTAACCCAAAAACCATCGATAGTATCGATATTTCTGAACTATAGATTGTCAGGAATTATGCAATAGTATTTGCAAGTAAATTCAAGGTGATATGTACAAGAATGGCTTAGAATGGACAAGAATAAATATAGACCAGTGCCGATAGCTTTTAAAACATAATTAAATTATAGTAGAATGAAACTCATTAGAAAAGGAGAGGAATATTATAAAATTTAAAGGAAAAACAATTTACGGGCGATCTGAGTTCGGGAAGGGTATTTAAGGGTAAAAAATGGGTTTTCTCGATTTCCGGCAAAACTAAAAGTTCTACGGAAAAATGTTATATAAAAAGATGTAGGTAATAAAAAGATTTAAAACTTTTGTATTTAAACTTTTTTCACATAACCTGAAAATTTATGTGATAAATTCGAAAAACCAAGTTTTTGGTTTTTTATTTTTATCTCTTACAAAAAAAAATATTTTGTCACGAAATTTGGTGAAAACTTTTTTTTTGATGTTACAAATACACTGTAATTTATTTGATTAGAAATATTTATTTTTTCAGCTAATATTGAATGAATATTGAAAAACCAACCTCATTTTCAGTCGAAAAATCACCCGTCAAAATATTAGCTTTTTTTAAAAAATTGGTATGTTTTCTATTCGTTGAAATCTCTATTTTGCGATGGTGAAGAAAAAAATATAAGTTTCTTACTTGCAGTACCATTTTTGGATAAAATAATCATGTCTCTTTTAATGAAATGACACTCGACATCGTTTTGAAAATGCTCTTTCTTATTTATTTGCTAATAGAACCTACTCAGCGGATTTCTAATCGCTAGATTTGAATCGCTAATGATGGCAAAACAAACTCAAATAAAACAAAGCTTCTCATCCTAATCAGCTTCCCAAAGAGCTCAAAAAAATAATTTGCGTGAAATAGCCCATAACCTATAGTTTGACTGGAAGCTACCGAGAGAATTCTCAACCCGCCACAACAACCAGATTTTAGGATCTGACGGGAGAAGCTTTTGTTCTTCGATCCGTCTTCAATACCTGGTCTTAGCAGATTTTTTTATAATCTTTGTAATACCTACATACGTATCATACGTTGTCCTACAAAGATAGAAGTCAGGTTTTATTTCTTCTTTTTTTTCTAATTTTAATTTCATTCATAAAAAATTTCAGAAATAAACATATGATTAAGAAAATTGCGACACATTTAGTTGACAGTTTAATGCGTAGCAGGCGCCAACGTCCATACCACGTTGAATGCACCGGTTCTCGTCCGATCACCGAAGTTAAGCAACGTCGGGCGCGGTCAGTACTTGGATGGGTGACCGCCTGGGAACACCGCGTGATGTTGGCTTTTGTCTACTTATTTTCGTCATTAATTGTCCTTGTTTAATATTATTTTTATTATTATTATATTCATACAGCCACGGAACCGACCGAACGCACCTATCATATTTTTGGAAAGATTTTAAATCTGATAGAGCATTATAGGCCAGTGCATTTGTAACATCAAAAGAAAAGTTTTTACCAAATTTCGAGACAAAAACTTGTTTTTTGTAAGAGATAAAAATAAAAAACCAAAAACTTGGTTTTTCGAATTTATCACATAAATTTTCAGGTTATGTGAAAAAAATGTTAGTACAAAAGTTTTAGATCTTTTTATTGCCTACAAATTTGCCATATAACATTTTTCATTAGGGCTGTTAATTTTGCGGGAAATCGAGAAATCCCTTTTTTACCCTTAAATACCCATCTCCATACCCTTCCCGACCTCAGATCGCCCGAAAATTATTTTTCCTTTAAATTTTATAATTTTCCCCTGCTTTTCTAATGAGTTTCATTCTACTATAATTTAATTATGTTTTAAAAGCTATTTGCACTGGCCTATAATGCTCTACCAGATTTAAAATCTTTCCAAAAATATGATGCGTTCGCTCGGTTCCGTGGTTGTATGAATATAATAAAAATAATATTAAACAAGGACAATTAATGATGAAAATAAGTAGACAAAATGAAACAGGGAAACAAAAAGCCAACATCACGCGGTGTTCCCAGGCGGTCACCCATCCAAGTACTGACCGCGCCCGACGTTGCTTAACTTCGGTGATCGGACGAGAACCGGTGTATTCAACGTGGTATGGACGTTGGCGACTGCTGCACATTAAACTGTCAACTGAATGTGTAGCAATATTCTTAATCATATGTTTATTTCTGAAATTTTTATTGAATGAAATTAAAATTAGAAAAAAAAGAAGAAATAAAAAGTGACTAGTATCTTTGTAGGGCAACGTATGATATGTATGTAGGTATTACAAAGCTAATAAGCCAAAACCAAATTTGTAAGATTCAAAGATTATGCTTAATAATTATGATGCTTTATTAAAACACTAACTTTTGACGCGACTGCGTCCGCATGGAATAGTGACTTCCGGCAGATTTTTGGTTCTTCTCACATAGTTCCCGTTCTTGCTGGGTTTTCGGAATGGTCGAGTTCCCGTAGAATTTTCAGGATAAAACCTATGTTTTTTTTTAATTCACAATGAAGTACTCTTAACTAACAACATATTTATTTGTTTATTTGAATAAAGATTAATATTACTATGTTGATACAACTTAAACAAATTATTTCGACCAAATTAGGTACCATAAAAACGGTATTATGAGTTAATCTTAAAAGATACACATATACTGTCGCGGACTGTTTTTAGATCATTAAAAGAGCTATTATTCTTTAATACATATTTTTTGTGTATCTTGAACCGTTTTCACGGCGCACGCAACGGAAGGCTTCAAAGATGAAATAATTTCTCCCGTTTTTTACACATTTACCACTATATCTTCGCTCCTGTTGGTCGTAGCGTGATGTTATATAACCTACAGCCTTCCTCGATAACTGGACTATCCAACACAAAAAGAATTAATCAATTCGAACCCATAGTTTCGCAGATTAGCGCTTTCAAACAAACAAACTCTTCAGCTTTATAATATTAGTGTAGATTGTTATTTGTCTTTCTAAGCGCAAGTGAATAAGTTTTAATTATTAAACAGTGGATTAATTTATTAATGAATTATGGAAAATTATAGCTGTGAGCTCCGTGCTTGTGATATGTGATTATTGAAAATAGTTACGAGTAGATTTTTAAATGTTGTCGTTTGATAATTAAATTAAAATAGTGTAAAATCAAGATGTGTGACCAGTTGAGATTGAACTAAAAAAAAAGAAAATGTTATCAATTTTAATAAAAAGTATGATGATAGTTTTAATTAGTTATCAGGTCGTGTAACTACACACAAATAAGTTATTTTGTTTGCCTTGTTTGATGTTTTCAAATGATAATAATAAGAATATTTGAATCTCCACTAGCTATTCCTATTTAAATAACCAAAATGAACAGATATTAATCGTTTTAAAGTGCTTTCGTGGCTCAGAGGTAGTTGAGAAATTCATTAAGTATATAGATAGATGTTCGTTCTGATCGGACATTCATTATGTGCGAATATTAATATTTTCTGATTACTTCGCGTATTTTATAATGTTTAAAAATTACATAATCCCGACGTTTCGATTACTTTTCAGTAGGGCCCGGATTAATATGTAAATACATATTTTTAATTTACGCGATTTTCGGCCTAGAATGTGTTTTTTACATGGACTGTCATATTTAGACTGTGAAAAACCAACTTTTATTTTCCATATTTTACCATATTTCAAAGTTAAGTCCATATTTTACAAGAAAATGTCACAATCATCCATATATTCACAAAAATTCATAAAATTTATGTTCCCGCCACTAATGTTTTGGATAAAAATAAAGGATTATTATTATTACGCAAAAATTTATTATTATTACGCTAAAAAAATTAACAAAATTCTGTGCGAAAGTTTCGAGGGCTGTAGACATGGCTTACACAATTACTGAATTAAGCATGTTTAAGTATGCACCCATCACGTCATGTGACTTGAGATGAGACCAATCAGCAGATATAAGGCTATATTTCGACCAAATCGCCAGAGTTTTAATTTTGATAATTTAAAGAAGCACGTCACTGTGTATTGCAACCAATTTGATATTAGGCTAGTGTAATGTAAGTTGAATAAAACTGTTATTTTTTGTTGAAATAAATATTTCGCTATTTTTTTTCATCGGTTTTTAAATGTATCTTAACGATGTACGTCACGAGTGACCTTTTTCTTATTTTTGATTTTTTCGTCCATATTTTATGTACATATTTAAGATTTTTTAATACATATTTATCCGGGCCCTACTTTTCAGCAGCCATGATCACGGCAGACATAAAAATATTAGTTTCATTTAAAATTCAAATCAATACTTGCGAAAGATATCATTATTATCTATGTTTTAGAGGAGGAAATGATGAAAATTGGTATTTTATTTTTCAAAGATATTCTGCTTACCCTACCTCAAATCACCGTGCACGAAACTGATTTAAGAAATCCTTATAACATAATATCTTTACCAACCTCTCTGTATTTTACATATGTAAATATTATCTGGCGATTATCTTACATTTTCATTTTTCTAAACAAACAAATGCCATGGTTCTCATCTACGTGTGTTGTTGTGTTTGTTAGGTTTTTGTCATCATTAGAGTTTATATTATGACATTATGATATAACAATGATGAAAATATATAAGAGTAGTGTTATAATAGTGGTTTTAAAAAGGCCGCTCAGACAGCGACAGCGCCCCACGCCTCCCCCACTGGTGAGAGAGGTGAACGATCATCGAGGACTGGCGGCCGGAAGCCGTCGTCCGCCTCACGCTCAGGACGCCGCGCCACGTCTCATCAACACGGCTGGTACGATCTCACGTAGTGTGTAGATCTCGTGAAGAGCTTACTATAGAAATGATCCTATGAAGTAAGGTCTTAGTTCACACCTCCACGACGCTCGGGGGTCATGGTCATCACAGAAATCTTGTTACCGCGTTGTACACGACCAAGCGACCTTTGGGGAGCGCCATCTAGTGAAATGTTCCATATTATCATTTAACACCGTGTCCTATTTTTGTTTCGCCTGTGAGAAAAACGTCCATGTCATTGCCGCAGATTTGCTTTTGTCAAAATAAAACTGCCTTATGTAAACGTTCACATCTACATATGTACAGACATATGTATGTATGTACGGTAGTCGAACAGCAGACTAGTAAACATATGTATAAAAAGAAAAGGAGACCTGGCCTTCGATAACTGTCATTATTTGATTCTTGAAAAGGAACAAGTAAAACAACTTAGATAGTTAATTTAGGTCAATTCTCTGTCAGCGAGTCGCATACTACCATATTGGTTATCAGAACAACGACCTGAACCATGAAACATGTACCCATGTAATGTAAGAGCTCTAACAGAGGACCTACAAACATGAAGTGAAGATGACATGTATTGTTTTGGAATTTAGGGTGGAGACACATATGGAAGACTGTCAAAACGGACAGATGCGGTGACAGATAAAGGCCACGGACATGACTTTCATTCTATTGATGGCACAGATGTTAATAGAACATAAAACACAATCGAGCCTTTCGAGTCCCAGAATACTGAAGCCATGGTCAACGCGTTATTTGCTGATAAAATCTACTCAGCGGATTTCTAATCGCTAGTTTTGTTTCCGGAGTGACTGTAATGTTTCGTCAATGATGGCAAAACAAACTGAAATAAAAAAAACCTTTTCACCCTACTCTTAGAAACTCGATAGAGCGAACTAATCGTTGTCGATAGGCATTCGGATAATCGAATGTATGAAGAAATGCGGGTTTTATATATATGTAGTACATAATATTATATGTTTATTTAAAAAAAATAACAAATGCATAACAACAAAAAATAATAAAGGATACATTTTCTTACATTACATATACATACATATACTTACTTGTATCTACTAAAAACTGCAGATTTAATCATGAAATAAATTACAATATGTATTTGATAATTTGCAATTGGTAACCATGAATTAAAATAATAAGTTCAATTTGCTTTAAATATTTGGTAATTATCATTTGACGTACGCCACTCTCAACAACACCCCTCTCTTACGCTTCAACATTTTTCTTGTCCGGACTTGTCCGTAGTCCGGATAATCGCGAATCCGTATAACTGAGGGCCGGATAATCGAGTTTCTACTGTATTTTGGAAAATTATATACCCTTTTTTTGGTACATTATGACAGAATGGAATTTCGTGAAGACCGTTTTCACTAAAATTATTCGAGACTGCGTCACTACATCCGAACCCATTGATAGTTAGAGCTTGTGACTATTCCCCGTCACCTAACTCCCCCATAGGCAAGAGGCGTCCCAAACACAGCCTCTTAGACCCTGACGACCAAATAACAACAGACATCATAAACATACACCGCCTTCACCGGCGAAGGCTAGATCCCGCTTCCTGATCGATTCCACCACTCCAACGACGTCCTAAGCCGAGGTCCGGCCTCTAACAGGAACCCTTGGGACGGCCGTATCCCTAGTTGGGCCCTTCGGACCCGAATTAAATCGGGTCGGTCCCATCAGGGCTATCCACCCCTCTCGGTGACGCTGTCAAAGCTATTAGGGTTAACAGCATGAGACCAATCAAATAAAAAAACCTAAAATTACGTCACTTCCGGAATATACGGCAGATTCATTCACAAATTAATATATCGAATGGGTCATGTCTTTGTAATCTCACGGTTAACCAGTCCGAAGCGACTCTTATAATGTGTCTAGGTACTATTTTTTTTTTACCAGATTTTAGGATCTAACGGGAGGAATATTGTTCTTCGATCCGTCTTCAATACCTGGTCTTATCAGATTTGGTTTATTATCTTTGTAATACCTACATACGTATCATACGTTGTCCTACAAAGAGCGTAGTCACGTTTTTTCTTGTTTCTGTTTTTCATTTTAATTTTATTTAATAAAAAATCCGTTCGTCTTGCACAGCTACGTGCAATCAATCGTATCACGTGAAATTGAAAAATTGTTATAAACATAAGATTAAGAATATTGCGACACATTCAGTTGACAGTTTAATATGTAGCAGTCGCCAACGTCCATACCACGTTGAATACACCGGTTCTCGTCCGATCACCGAAGTGAAGCAACGTCGGGCGCGGTCAGTACTTGGATGGGTGACCGCCTGGGAACACCGCGTGATGTTGGCTTTTTTGTTTCCCGTTTTCCTTTGTCTACTTATTTTCATCATTAATTGTTCTTGTTTAATATTATTTTTATTATTATTATATTTATACAGCCACAGAACCGAGCGAACGTATCATATTTTTGGAAAGATTTTAAATCGCTTCGAAATATGAACCTGCTGTATATGTATGTCATTTAGAACAGTATTCTGGTAGAGCATTACTCTAGAATAGAAAACAAAATAAGTAACAGTAACGGCAATATAAATATTATGTATGTACTGTTAAAGAAATGATTATGGCTATAACTACATAGATGACGCTCGAGAGCTACGAGTGAAAATAAATCGCGCTAGTGAGATTTTCTCGTTCTCAATGACCCCCCCTGTAAGAGTGTCGGTCTGTATCGCTTCTCGGCCTTTTGGCTAAGATCAAAGTGTAGTATCTGTTCTTTTCAGCTTAATATCTGAAAGTTCCCGCATGTCGGGACCAGTATATTAAACTGTTTTTGTAAACCGACGGGATGTTCGGGGCTCGCTCCACTCCCGGCACGGGTCGGCCCGGCATTGCAGTGCCGCCGGGATCGGCCCACATTAATTAATAGATCTACGTTAATGTACTATAATTTAAGTGGTCGATCGAAGCGTAGCCATCTTCAGTGAATATTATTAGAAAAATTTATTTTCTTCTTTATCAGTTACCACTTAACGTCAACAATCTTTTAAGTTATAAATTATAACTAATCAAACTTAAATGCATAATAATTAATAATTACATTCAAATTCGAAAGTACCATAAAACGATTACAATCCTTTCATCCCCGCTTTATAAAAGTTATATAAATCGGAATATCCAGTGGAGATCCAAGCATTATTATTATTATTTATCATATATATCTCCCTAACAATGTGTCAAATATTTCATCCACACGGATCAGTGACCAAGTGTTTCTCGGGTGTGAAAAAGTCAGTATCGACATCTTTGTATGGGTAAAATAATTATTATCATACATATTTTATAACGAGTGACGCTGCTGACTCCATTGAACGAACACCAAGTCGTGTGAAGAAGATTCCTTACACCACACAAGCAACAGAATGTCATTGTCATCCTAACATCGGGACAATCATGTAGTTTTAACCAGTAAGTACTAATAGATTCTTTTATAGATTGTATTATATTTTCTCAGTCAGAATAACATAGTGATATTTCTTAATGATAATTTCTTTTTATAATCTCTTTGTAGTCGATTCTTTGAGTGGTTACTGGCAGCATCTTCTATAATAGCAAAGCCAATAAAGTCTGTCCAGCTATTATAAAATTTAAGGCGATTACATATTACAACAAAACCAACGTTTAACTTTGTATTTAAAATGCTAGGTTCTCATTGTGAATTGACTAAAGGAAAGTTTAACTGATAATAAACAATAATATTACCAATAATTCTGTAGATTATTACATGTTATTTTAAAACAGACTGAAATCTAGAACTATATTTTAAAATTAAGAGACACTTGATAAACTATTATTTAAAGGGACCTGTCACTTTTACTCAATTATTGTCTATAATTCAAGAGAGATAGTCAATAGAATTCAATCATTCATTATAATAACTATTCCTTGATCTATTTACTTGATATTTTGAGAGTTACTTTTCATTTATATTCAATTGAATTCCATTTACAATATGCTTCAGCATCACAAATTATTCTATTTTAATCCTTATGTTTATTGCCGTTATAGATTTCGCCAACACTAATAATTTAAACTATATTAAACGATAAGAAAAAGTGATCTGCAATCGATCCAAATGATATGATAAATTTATTGGAATTATTATACACTTTTGTTGCTAACACACGTCCTAATTATTTATTGATCCAAAATAAATTAGGCAAGTTTTCACTTAACAATAAAGAGAACTATTGATGCCAACTGTCGATTCTTTTATGGTGTGAGGAGAAATACTTTGATCCTTATCGCCGAATTGATCTTAACTTCATATCAGAATACAACTTAGTTCAGATTGAACTAAAAAAGGTGACGTTACTCGTTGTTCTAATAAAATGTTTCATATTAAACCCATGAACTTAATCTTATTCTTTCAAAAACTTGAACGAGTTTCTGAGACCAAAACTTTTTTTCTAGAATAGACTACCATTAAACTGTTCTGAAAGACATAACAGCAGGTTCACATTTCGGAGCGATTTAAAATCTTTCCAAAAATACATATGATACGTTCGCTCGGTTCTGTGGCTGTATGAATATAATAATAATAAAAATAATATTAAACAAGGACAATTAATGATGAAAATAAGTAGACAAAGGAAAACGGGAAACAAAAAGCCAACATCACGCGGTGTTCCCAGGCGGTCACCCATCCAAGTACTGACCGCGCCCGACGTTGCTTAACTTCGGTGATCGGACGAGAACCGGTGTATTCAACGTGGTATGGACGTTGGCGGCTGCTACACATTAAACTGTCAACTGAATGTGTTGCAATATTCGTAATCATATGTTTATTTCTGATTTTTTTATTGAATGAAATTAAAATTAGAAAAAAAACAAGAAATAAAACGTGACTTCTATCTCTGTAGGACAACGTATGATACGTATACATCCTAATCTTGTTCACAAAATCCTTAGTATTTAAAAATCAAACTTAAAATAATGCCCTATATTTTGCGTTAAAACTATTAAAAAATATTCATATTTTATTAATCTCCGTGTTCTTCGTGAAGACCGTAAGAATCCGCCAAAGAAAATGCAGAAACAAGTGACTCTCGTTGACAAGATCCTGTCGAGCACCAGAACTATAAGCAGCGTTCACAAGGAGAAGGAGAATCTAGAAGTCTGTCCCAGCTGTATGTGGGGACCTAAAGTTGGGTGAGTGGTCTTAAATAATCTACAAATATACTATAATAGCTGCGCCCCGCGGTGTTACTCGCAGATTTCCGGGATGTAAAGTAGCCTATGTGTTATTCTTGGACGTCAGCTTTATGTATACAATTTTTTATCAAAATCGGTTCAGATGTTTGAGTGTAAAAAAGTAACAAACATACACACAAACTTTCGCAATTACAATATTAGTAGGATGTGTCCACATACAATCTAATATACATATATAAAGCTATTATTCAGTTTTATAGGAGACCTCTAGTAAGCCTCTCTCTATGTGTCTGAAAAGTTTGATAGGACCATATAGAACCATATAGAAGTAATTTAATATAAATATTAAATTTAATCACCTTGTATTTGATTTATCAATTGTTCATGGTACAATTTCAGATTTGTTTTTTATTGTTCATCATTGCTTAAAGTCAAGGCTTACTAAATGGCTGGAGCCTGTATTTATACTATTCAAATACTGGTTGATACTCAGATCATGCCATTACAAAAGTTAATTATAATCAGTCATAGATATAGTTCTAAGGATCACAGTATATTATAGTTAGTACGGCACAGATGTAACAGTCTCCTGTCTAACTTGTACCCTCTGTCAGTTACGATGACGTAGTCTGGCACAAGCTGGGCTCCTGTCCGTGGTGGCCGGCGCGGGTGATCACGCCGGGTGCTCTGCCCTCGTGCCTCCTCACACGATCACATTCCCCACACCACTGGCCGCTGAAATACTACGGTTAATATCATTTATATTGAATACTCACTTCACCAATAGCCCATTCACAATAAGTACAGCTCCAAAATCTTAAATATCTATCAACTTAAACAAATTTCTCAAACGATTCTCTTCCTAACCCAAATATCTACCTCACATAAGTCTACTAATTCAATACTACTTATAATGTCATTATATCCAGGTACATTGAACAACAGGTACAGCTCCAAAATCTTGAATATCTATCAACTTAAGCTACATTTCCAAACAATTCTCTTCGTAAATCAAATATCTGCCTCATATAAGTCTGCTATATCCATACTATATATAACATCACACTATATCCAGGTACATTGAACTACTCCTGGGCTGAAACCAGTCGCATCTGCCTCTTTCTGCCCAAGCATACAGCAGCACTGAAGGCCAGGGATGATACTCTGAGGCAGGCAGTGTTGGACGCAGCAGATGACTACATAGCTGTCTACCTCACATAGAATGAATATAATAAACATTCCAGGTCGGTATCAATATAACCTTTGACCTTACACTATATTATATGACCTTTGACCCTTGACTGAATATCGTATTTTAAATATTCTTCATTTGAGTACATAAGGTTATCTTTGATTTTTTTGTTGTTTATTGTTATCTACATGTTATGTTTGAAATAATTTTTACTGTTAACTTAGTTTGTATCAGATCTATAATTATCATGTTTCATCTTGCAGAGCTTTAAATAGACTTATTCTTTTCAATAATATTATGTTTACAAGATTATTATTTTTATAACTATATTTCTAAATAAAGTTGTTGAATCTTAATTAACGATTATTTTAATAACATCACTTTGACTTCATCCAATTTTATTTATGTAAGCCTCTTATATAAAATAATAATAACTAAACAAGTTAAATTTAAAAGTAAATTTAAAAATCTAACATTATCATTTTTTTCATTTTAAAACTCTCTTAAATCATAAACTATAACTTATACTTATTACTATAATAGCAATTAAAGTAAAAGTGTCTGTCTGTATAATTACATTATTATAATTACATTACATGTAATCAAAACAACAGCCTTATACTAAACAATCTTTTACAAATCAAATCTCAATGAAGTTTAAATAAGTGGGCATCGCCGTAGCCAATAACTAGTGTATCATAAGACAACACTTACTCTTTACAGATGGTTTCTTTATATAAATAGAAGGATTGCTAGATATGTATACTTTATAACTTTCAAATAGTATTATGTATAAAGAGTGAATTATCTAAATTAGTACCTGTATACAATAATAATGAAAGCAGAGATATCAAAAATAATAAAACATTATTTTGTGAGCAAACTGTACCTAATAATAATTTGACACCTGGATATGAATACTCATCTATCAGAATAATATTCAAAACATAGTATAAATATGTAAATCTATTTACTAAGAGTCAAGAGACAAAGAAAATTTTTTATGTACAATAATATGCATTGAATAACTAAATTCTAATTACTAACAAATAATATTTTTACTACCGGTTACCATTAAATTCCATAAGGCTTACATGTATGTACTTATTTATATTTATTTTATGCCTGTTAAAAATTTAGTTCCTATTGAAAAGTTGGTCTCAATCGTGTTCACATTCAGATTTATAACTAAAATAAATAATTAATGTATCATTTTCGACAAGTTCAACGAAATTATGAATAAATATTGAACTAAAAATAAATGTTACAAATCAGTGAAACAAAAAGCCAACATCACGCGGTGTTCCCAGGCGGTCACCCATCCAAGTACTGACCGCGCCCGACGTTGCTTAACTTCGGTGATCGGACGAGAACCGGTGTATTCAACGTGGTATGGACGTTGGCGACTGCTAGACATTAAATTGTCAACTGAATGTGTCGTACACAAGATCTTTCATTAGCACATCACTAGATGGCGCTCCCCAACCTTCGCTCAATCGTGTACAACGCGGTAACGAGATTTCTGTGATGACCATGACGCCCGACAATCGTCGATGTATGTGTTAAGACCTTACTTCATAGGATCATTTCTATAGTAAGCTCTTCACGAGATCTACACACTACGTGAGATCGTACCAGCCGTGTTGATGAGACGTGGCGCGGCGTCCTGAGCGTGAGGCGGACGACGGCTTCCGGCCGCCAGTCCTCGATGATCGTTCACCTCTCTCACCAGTGGGAGAGGCGTGGGGCGCTGTCGCTGTCTGAGCGGCCTTTTTAAAACCACTTTATATTCATACTAAATTAGACTTGATTTTCTATCAAGTATACAGGGTGACTGGTGAATTACTATCAATATTTGAGGACGTGATATTTGACGATCATATATGACAAAATAAAAAATAATATAACATAAATATTAATAAACTTCTAAGTAAAGTTAACCAAAAGTTATGTAATTAATTAAACATCGTATGAACACCCTACAGATTAGGTATACACACACACTCACACACGCGTGCTGATACAACACTACGCCGCCGCACGCGTCCACGCTTGGAACACTTGGACCGTGTCAACACTTTATTTATTTATACGGAAATTTGGTCAAAAATTAAGTACCTATTTTTTTTACATAATTCGAATGAGAATCATGTACCGAGTATGCTCCTTAAATATTGATAGTAATTCACCAGTCACCCTGTATACAAAACAGTTCATGATTGGAACCTTTGCATCAGTAATTATGTTACTAAATACACACATACACATACATGTTCGAGAATAGTGAATCAAATGCAAAATAATTTATCTCCTAAATAAAATACTTGAAATTTTTGAAATTAAAATACCAAATGATTGTAAGAAATCAAAGATTTTCTATTTAAGTAAAGGACTGGTAAAATTAGTTTGATAAATGTTTAATCGCTCATTTTTCTAATACTAAGATACTGAACAACAAATAATTTTTCCACGCAAGATATAAAATAGATTTTCTTAAAATAAGATGTACTTGTATGATGTATTAGCTTAGATAAGACACCTCTCTGCTTACGGACACTGTTTCATGAATATATCACTCAGAATCAAATGTCACAATTGCTGTTTACAGATTATTAGTATTCCAAAGAAGAATACCTATTTAACTACAAAAGATCTATACATATATACACGCGCCCGTGTCTGTTAGTGCCGTGTTCCGTCAACAGATGTCGCCGTACCGTCCTCCTGGTCTGAGTGCACATCGCGCTAGTGAGATTTTCTCGTTCTCAATGACCCTCTCTGTGTGAGTGTGGGTCGGCATCGCTTCTCGGCCTTTTGGCTAAGATCAAAGTGTAGTATCTGTTCTTTTCAGCTTAATATCTGAAAGTTCCCGCATGTCGGGACCAGTATATTAAACTGATTTTTGTAAACCGACGGGATGTTCGGGGCTCGCTCCACTCCCGTCACGGGTCGGCCCGGCATTGCAGTGCCGCCGGGATCGGCCCACATAATACTGAGAAATAAATCGACTAGTCCTCCTCCTATATGGCTGGCTCTCCATTCACATCGTCTTAGCTTTCGACTTTAACTGTTATAAGCTTGTGATGATCATTACAATGCTTTCTTCTGCATTAATTGATTAATAAGATACAAAAAGTATTACACCATATTCGCACTTTTGTTGTACACTTCATTAGTTAAGTTTGGAGAATTCGTCCATATCTTATGGAAATAAGCACTGCATATCCTACCCATATAACAACTAAACTTATATTGTTTAATTCTTACTTACATACTTTTAATCAAATATACGAAATACAAATGTTAACAGACATTTAAAATACATCTATCAATGTAAAAACGAAACATTTTCGATCGGCCGCTGCCAACTGCTAGCGCCGCTATGCAGCCAGAGCAGCGGTATGCACAACCACTCTTTGCTTACTTTCGATACAATAATTCTCAAGGACGATCTACAAACAAATCTCGTGTATGTATGTAGGAAATGTTTCTATGTGTGTGTAAAACTAACACATGCATATTTTTTTGGCCTTTTTATTATTATTGCATTATGTTATTTGTCTTTCTAAGCGCAAGTGAATAAGTTTTAATTAGTTAACAGTGGATTAATTTATTAACGAATTATGGAAAATTAGCTGTGAGCTCCGTGCTTGTGATATGTGATTATTGAAATTAGTTACGCGTAGATATTCAATATTGTCGTTTGTAGTTTGACTTGTTTTTAGTTTGACTGGAAGCTACCGAGAGAACTCTCAAACCGCCAAAAAAAAAAAACAGATTTAAGGATCTGACGGGAGAAATATTTGTCCTTCGATCCGTCTTCCCTACCTGGTCTTAGCAGATTTATTTATTTATTTCATAGGAAGCCAACATAATGTACAATGATCTTAATTTTCCAACATTAAAATTTGTACACTATAGAATATGTAGCTACAAAGTACAACACAATTACAGGCTAACTCAGCATGCACTGTAATAAAAACATAAGAACCCCTCTCACACTCTCACTCCGTGTTAATAAAAATGGAAAAATTTTAAAAATAAAAGTACAAGCAAATATATAGTTTTTGCCCGCGACTTCGTCCGCGTTAATTTCGTCATTAGTAATATAGGTATAGCTGACCGGGCAAACTCTATTCCGTCTTCAATAACCCGGTACTGGTATTTATTAAATTTCTACTGTTTCAATCGAACAGAATGATTGACATATTAGTTAGTTGTCAAGTCTAATGTCAAAAAATCGTTTGTATGGGAAATGGAAAAGGGCTGTTTTTAGGGTTTTCCCGGCAATTATTCAAATTTTTCTCACCTTTTAAACCTTCCCTGGACCTCCAGGAGTATTTCAAGACTAAAATTAGCCAAATCGGTTCAGCCGTTCTCGAGTTGTAGCGAGACTAAGGAACAGCAATCCATTTTTATATATATAGTAGAAGAAGATAATCGTGTTTCTATCTCTGAATCTTCTAAATTTAGTTTTGTTTTATTAGCTTTGTAATACCTACATACGTATCATACGTTGTCCTACAGAGATAGAAGTCCGTTTTATATCTTTTTTCTAATTTTAATTTCATTCAATAAAAAAAATCAGAACTAAACATAAAATTAATAATATTGCTACACATTCAGTTGACAGTTTAATGTGTAGCAGTTGCCAACGTCCATACCACGTTGAATACACCGGTTCTCGTCCGATCACCGAAGTTAAGTAACGTCGGGCGCGGTCAGTACTTGGATGGGTGACCGCCTGGGAACACCGCGTGATGTTGGCTTTTTTGTTTCTTCTTAACAATAATTTTTTAGTTTAACATTTATTCATCATTTCGTTGAACTTGCTAGAGTGATACATAATATATTAATGATTTATTTAGGTTTTTACCTAAGGGAAAGTATAATAAATAAACAAATAAAAAAGTAGTTGGTCTAGATTGTAGAATCAAGTCTCTTTATATAATAGTTATTTACAAGCTTTATATAATAGTGACTTGCATTCATATGTACAAGACTATTAATTAAATTATCCCCTTATTTT